ATTTTTTGCTTTGAATAGAATTTGTGCTGTTTGAAATTTCACTAGATCGTCAATTTTCAATATTTCAGACTTCTTTTCTAAATAATTCGGTTTTAGATTTTGTGTGTGTGCTTTGGATCATCCCATCATCACTTAAGCTTCGGGTAGTGCCGCTGCCCTGACATTCGATTTAAAAGAAATCTTGGCATCATTTTTAATTCACCGTTCAGGCGCTCGATGGAATAACACTTCCAAACAGGATGTTCCCTCCTCTGTACCTCACAGCTGGGACGTAGTTTCAGTGTTGGTGTCCAGTCCTTTTTTTTTTAATAATTTTTTTTATCTTAAAAACTGTGGTATAAATGTTGTGGAGCATTTATATGCACAGGTGCAGCTCTAGACTTGGGAGATGGTGCAGTGTCTTTTTGGAGAGCTGTAATTTTCTTTGTAGTGTGCTTCCAGCAGCAGCACTTATTCGGTGTTTTTCTTGTAGCAAACACCTGTACATGTCAGTCCCATTTTTTTTGAGTGATATTTTCTTAATTGGAGAACCTGACAGCAAAAATTTGAAAGAATATTTGAAGAAATCAGAACAGAGGTTCACTTTTTTTTCCCCAAGCCTGCGCTTTGACTAATTTATGTTTCTTAGAAATGAGGAGCTCAAAATTTGTGTTTTATCCTCAGATTGTTGTTTTTTTTAGTGTTGTGGTTTATTATTTTGTATAATCGTGACCTAGATAAAGATTCAACCACATCGTATGAGTCACTAGTCAAGAAATCTTGTTAGTGTCAATTCACAAACTATTTTTTGGAACCGCAAATTGCCTGGAATATGGAATTGTGAGTCAATTAGCAGAAATTAAGAACGTAGATACCAATAGCTGTTAACGCCTCAGTTTTAATAGCGCTTGTAGTAGCAGTTTCATCTTTCTGCAATTAGATAATTAATTACTTGGCTGATCGATGGTCATGTTGTTGCCAACGTCTCTTCTTACATGCTGGATCTTTGTCTCAGTCTTAGGAATGGGTTAATTAGCTAGCAGAGGCATTAGCTGAGCTGCACGGCTCAGATTAATGTGGTGTGCCAGTGCTGTTTTTCATTATCTCTTAAACTCCCAAAAAAGATTACACAAGAGGAAAACCGGATCTTTTCTTCTCTTCTTTCTTTTCCTTCCCTTCTTCTCTCTGTGTTGGTCTCTCAGAATGCCTTTAACATGGTGGAGCTGCAGCGCTCCCTCCAGCCAAGCCCAGCGCAGTCACTCCGATATAGTTATCCTCAAAGCATCATCTCCTACCCGCAGACTAAGCCCGCCCAGGACAACAACAAAAACGGCACGTCTAATGGAAATGGCAGTGCCGCAATTGCTCTACGTCTGGCAATTCCTCCGTCAGAGACAGAAACCTTGCCGTCCCCTCTGACCTTCCGCCGCTCCCAGAAAACCCTGTCCTTCTCCAGCCAGGACTTGGCCCGCTACCTTTGTGAGGTCATCAGAGACATGGATCGCCCTGAGGATCT